GATTACTTGGTGATATCATCTCTGAATATACTCATTCTGTCAAAAGAAACCTTTTGTTGTGAGTATATAAATATATTCAAAACAAATTCCTATAAAAACTTTCATGCAAAAACTTTTATTTTATGAAGGGACGTGTGTTAAAATAATTAATTATGTATATCCTCATTGAGAGGCCCTTGAAATACTGTAATTGCGTGAAGTCTTTGTTGTCGACATCCAGTGATACACACGATAACATTTAATTACCATGTGTCCATGTCCACGCTGTTATGAAATTCATTCTATAAAAAAGATCGATCGCCTCGAATGTCAAAGGAGTAGGTCCGGTAAGGGCCGATTTTGGCCTCAAAATTCAGGTTCATCTGATGAAAGATTTTGGACACTTTTTAAACACTTAAGTGTCTACTTCAGTCGATTCAATTAGTTTATGTGAAAGATTTGAACTGATTTAATCATTAAAGTCGCTCAAATTCAAGCTTAAATATGAAAAATATATCAAATATGCCATAATATGTCACTTTTCGGATGGTTTTTGTCAAAAATGAAAGTGGCCGCATCCGTGTTCATTCTCAACCTTTATATATGTTATGTATTATCATCAAATACAAATTACATTTAAATATTAAGAATGAACACAAATGCGGCCACTTCCATTTCAGACGGAAATCGTCTAAAAATTAACCAAAATGCTAAACTTTCGAAGATTTCAGTAATTTAGCATGACTTAATGATGCTAGTACCACATACATGTGCATTGTATTGTCAAAAACTGCCCATATCTATGTAACAGAAGTATTCTTCTTTCCAATAAATAGCTAAAAATTTACATTTTAACAATTTTGTAAAACTGCTATATTTTGGGGCCAAAAAGGGGTCTTACTGGGCCTACTCCTTTAATTGGTTTGTTAACTGGCCGCGCCAAACAAAGGACTTTATACATGTAGTAGTAAAATTGAGAATGGAAATGGGGAATGTGTCAAAGAGACAACAACCCGACCATAGAGCAGACAACAGCCGAAGGCCACCAATGGGTCTTCAATGCAGCGAGAAACTCCCGCACCCGGAGGCGTCCTTCAGCTGGCCTCTAAACAAATATGTATTCTAGTTCAGTGATAATGGACGTCATACTAAACTCCAAATTATACACAAGAAACTAAAATTAAAAAAGATACAAGACTAACAAAGGCCAGAGGCTCCTGACTTGGGACAGGCGCAAAAATGCGGCGGGGTTAAACATGTTTTTTGAGATCTCAACCCCCCCCCCCCCCCCCCCCTATACCTCTAGCCAATGTAGAAAAAACAAACGTACAACAGTACGCACAGTAAAACTCAGTTTAAGAGAAGTCCGAGTCCGATGTCAGAATAGGAAACAAAAGAAAATAAACAAAATGACAATAATACATAGATAACAACAGACTACTAGCAGTTACTGACATGCAAGCTCCAGACCTCAATTAAACTGATTGAAAGATTATGTCTTCATCATATGAATATCAGGCACAATCCCTCCTGTTAGGGGTTTAGTATTATACCATCATAAAATATATGAGAAGAACATAACCCGTGTCATGCCAACAACTTGTTTTTAGAATAAATATGTTTAATTCCGATGCAAAGACCCTATAAGTGAATCAATATTAAAGCCAAAATATGCAATCTTTAATGACCTGACAACAGTATCGTAACTATATCCCTTCTTAATAAGTCTGTTTAAAGGTTTTGTTAGCTTTTGAGGTGAATACTGACATTTTTGTGCTTTGTAAAGAATATTACCATAAAAGATTGGATGTGAAATACCCGAACGTATAAGATGTCTGCATGTTGAGTACTTGCTTCTTCTAAAAGCAGAAAGCATTAAGGAATGCGAGTAGACATTGATTATCTCGGAGATTTAATAATGTGTCTGTTTACGGTTACAGTTCTTCATATGGAATCCTATCGAAGGAGCTAGCATGTTAAAAATCTAATTCAGTGTATATGTCTTGTACAAAACAGGGTATCTTTATATTTCACCTCCTGGATGTGCATGCAATTTGTGTTGTTGAATATTCAGCAGCAATTAACCAATCGATGGTATTAGAAGTTCAAACTTATATTAGACAACTGGTGCTCGACCCCAAATATTTGCGAAAATCAGAAAACGTTTAAAAGCATCTTATCATACAAACGTCAAATGATGCCCCTAAAAAGGCGCAAATAAAAAATCGTAAGAATAACTTAACATATTTCACAATTTTTTTGCAATTAAAATTTCTTTGGCACAGTGGCGTCCCAGTGTCCGCGGGACCGGTGATATTGCGCATTACTTGATTTCGCCATATCCGCAATATGTAACACTAATAAAATTGTTCTTGTAATTGTTTTAGTCTTCCGAAGGGACAAATATTGAGGATGAAACCATACATATCACATGAAATAAAATTCAGAGCCTTCAATTTGTCTAGCATGTTTGTGATGAGACATTAGAAAGAGAGAAAAACATCTCTTAAATTCAGATGAAAAGATCAGATTATAATAGGGGGAGAGTAATATTTTAGCTAATAACATGTTTAGTAACAAGTCTGGGTTTAAGCTGTCACTATCTATTTTATAAGACCAAAGGGTTAATATTACCCGATCACTTACTGATTTAAGCAGTGATCAAAAGATCGACATGTTGATAGCAACCTTTAGGTTAGACTAGTACCTACTACTACTTGGTATTTAACAACAGTCTATCATCTGTGAATGCTGACGGCAGTGATATTTATTTACTGATCTGATCAAAAACAGACGGAATGATTTTGATTAAAAGTACAGCATACTTTCTCATGTTTAAATTTTTGTATATCCATGTCTCTCCTCGAATGGATGCATATGGTAATTTTGACCTTTTATTTTATGGCTTCTTTTACATATATCCCCAAGTAAACAATTGAAAAAGAATCTTCTTTCTAAGTACTTAGTAACTTTGAACCACACTTATCAACAGACATTGTCAGCTCACTTCAAAATTGTGTGCAATGTTTCTACAGACCAACTAACATTAAGACATGTTGTTCAAACAGAAGATATTGATAAATAAACAAAACAATAGTCGGTTTGTTATATACTACAAGATAAATAACTGTGGAGCAGGATCTGTTTACCATTCCATAGTTTTGTTTGAAAGGGCTTCATTTAACTCTTGCTTTAGTTTTAAGTGTTGTTCTTTGTGCTATTTAATTTTTCAATGTCTGTGTTTTTTTATACCGGTAACAGTCTCATCTATTCTTTGTAATAAAACACGTGTTTCGAATTCAAATAAATTATCTATGATGAGTTTATTTCTCATTCGGTCCAAGTTTCAGGGTTAGAAAATTTACTTGCTCGATGGTTTTTTTAATTTTATCTTTTTTTAGTTTTCTATGTTGTGTTTTTTATACTGTTTGTCTTTTCATCGTTTTTCGTTTTTGTCATGGCATTGTCAGTTTGTTTTCGAAAATATTTGAATATTCCTTTGGTATCTTTCGTCTCTCTCTTAATTTGTATTCATTTGATACTAGCTACATGCTTGCCTAAAATCAGTACCATACATTGAAACAAGTTCAACCGGCATTGTTTTTACTGATAAAATTTCCTGCAAATATCTGATATGACTTCGATGAGTTCAGATGCCTCAAACAGATTTAAAGCTTCTGATTTATCAGTGAAAATTGTAGTTTTTCCTTGAAAGTGACATATTATATACATTTAGAATAAAAAAATATAAAATGAGACGTAGGACATACGTCAATGAGACAACAACCCAACGGTGTTGTCTATGTTTTTTTTTTATTTTCAAAAGAATCATTGTGAGCTTGTAACCAGTTCAAGTGCGTGCAAAATACTGCTTAGGTAATCAGCAAGCCAAGTTCACATTCAAACCTCCTCCATTTTTTCCGACTGGGTTTTAAGAAGAGGTGTTTTGTATTTTGAGAGCTAATTGGTTGAAAAGTACATATTGATATTGCTCTTGCACGATTCTTTCTAAACGTTCTATCAGGTCAGAACAAATATGAAATGAACGACTCCTGAGCCATTCAAGGTGAATATCACGCTTGATAATTGTCTGGTGAGTAATTCCTGAGAATGTTTACTTTTATATCAGCATTTCATTCAACCAGTATCAAAGGAGTGCACATATCTAGAAATTTGATTTGAAAATTTCACGATGTTTAATGTTAGTAAACTACAAAATATATCCAATACTCTGTTTGTATATTACATTATCTTATAAAAAAGCAGATGCAATACTTCCTTGTTTATTCTCGCTTTTTAACTTAACTATACTGTAAACCTCTGCTGTTACATTTTTTTGATATACATGTACGCATATCTTTAATAAGTGATGGCGATCGTGTAATGATACCGAATTAATGAGTTATTTATGTGTCCAACATCAATTATTTCTCAAAGAAATTCTTAGCTTTATTTCTTCCAAGGAGAAAGTAGCGGAAATGATTTTTCATTGCAAATATATCCGTTTCCTTCAGTTTATGGTCCTATCACATTTAAGTGTTATACCGAGGTGAACGTTGCTTAGAATTGGTAAACTCATACAGAAATAAGGCAATGGGTATAATTACCAAGGCAACAACTATCCACCAGTGGCCATGGAAGTACACAAGTTATGTACATTTATGTATGTTTTAGTTGAAAAACTATAATAATTACTAATTTGATTCGATTACTTTTAAATTATATTCATAATATTGGTTGAACAATTATTTCGCTTGCACTCACAGAAATTATTTCATTGTACATGCACTTGTCACGTGACGTCTCCGTAAAATTACGCATGGTTCGAATCACCAACACGTCTTCGGCATGGAAAATTAACATATAGGTTATGCCACCTGAACCATTTGTAACTTTATAGAGACACCAAGTGACAAGTGTATGTACAATGAAATAAGATCCAGAGACTATATGAAGCTCATTTTTTGCACTTGCATGAAACAGAATACGAAACCTTTAAAAAGAATATAAATATAACAACATGTAGAAAAATAATTTATATTCATTTCTCTTTCAGATAAAAAAAATTGAGGAAACGTGTATTCATTCCCGATATGACAACTATTCAAAAAAAAAATCAATTAAAAGAATTTTCCTGTAAGAAAAACTAGCCCAATGTTGAGTAAAGTAAATTTGGAAATTATCTCACGGTATCCGTCGAATATCATTTGTCTGTTATTGAAATGTAAATGTACCTGACTCAATGTTGTCGACCGAAAAATCTAGCATTTTCAGATATTTTACTGTGAGGTATGTGTTACGCATTCAGATTAGTTCTTAAGAAAGTAGAAATTTACACTTCCTAGAAAAAGACATGGTATAAGCATGAACCATACTGATATGAGACACTCTTATGAAACATTGTAGACGATTCTCTACAGAAGAATAAGGTGGTGCTCTAACTTCCTCATTTTATAAGTTAAACATATATGTATATAAGATAGAACATGTAAAAAAGTAAAATATATTTGAATTATAAAAAATGTGGAATGCACTCATTATCTATCAATGCATAAATTAAGATAATCCTGTCATAGTTTCTCTCTTAAAGAGAGCTGAGCATTTAATATAATTGTTATCACATATAAGGTTTTCAAATCGAAAACTTGCATATTCAAAAAAGAATTAAAAACACATACTGAAAGACATGAATATCAGCATAGGGATACAATTGAAATATATTTATCTAACTTGGATATGCACAGTAGCTTCTGTTGTATGAAAATTCAGAAACCGGAATCCGAGTATCGTAAAGGGTTGGTGCTTGTGCTATAACACCAAAAAATCCTATCAAAGAAGCTACAGTGAAAATAATCAAAAACATTCGATCAATCACCATGGCAACATATTTCCAGTCTTCTCTCACCTGAAAAACAAATGTACAAATTTCATTTATTATTTCTATATCTAAACTATAAGCAAAATGCAAAAAGATTGGATCAATTATTCAATTTTACATTTAAAAAATAAAATAAAATGAAATGTGGAAGGACTACCAATAAGGCAACTTCCAACGAAGGAGAAGGGTGTAAACAACTGCAATTTTACGTGACTCGTCAGTTGCATACCTCCCTATCATCGATCACATTTTCACGTACTCATAAATAATATTGATATAGCTATGCATGACTTATGAACAGTATATCTGTCTGCAAAGAACGATTTAATTCAATTTATTTAAATTTCTCGTAGACGTAATCACATTCTCACATGAGTTTACGTGAACGGAAGTTTAATCGCCGCGATGTTGTTTAGGGTTTATCATGACCATAGTATACAGATCCTTCTACCATTTCAGCTTTCTTCGGGAGCTTATAAAACCTATTTTGGAGGTAAGTGAGGTTAGAGTTAATTTTGCTCGAAGAATTCCCTCTTAAATTTCTACAATAGATTCACTTGTACAAAGCAGACGATATAACATTAGATTTCTTTTACATTTAGTTGAATAAAAGGTGATGTGGGGTATATGCTACGAGTTCACCCGACGACAAGAATACCGAAGACATGTAAAGGGCAACATACAGTCTCTTAAACAATAGACAGGGTCGATACAATATATCAAGGTCTAAATCGTCATGAGTCTATAACAATTTAATATTGATAACACAGAAACAATAAAATATTTGCCATTAAACACAGGTCTCCAAATAACGAAAAATAATACGATATGACAAATAAAAACTACCGACGAGGTTTCTGAATTGGAACATAAACATATTTTATCTCAACTCTCCCCTTTTAAAACTCGGTCATAAAAAAGCTGGACAAAAATAGCATTTAACCCTGAAATAACGAAATCAAAGAATGATTCTTATCAGATCTAGTTTGAAACACTCTAGTTTTATCATACACTTTTAACTAGTATTGCCCAGTCTAACGTTTTCTGTATACCGTGTTTTGTAGCCTCTTTTAGTAGCATTGTTTCTCTTTTTGTCCATGATTTTGCCGGGCTTTCTACGACTTGTGGTATTTGATTGTCCCCAATGTATCTTCTCCCTCCTCTTTTTGAAATAAATCAATCCCTTTTCATAAACCAAAGAACTTTTTTTAAAAGGAAAATTGTTTGAAAAAAGACCGATTTAAAATACGAAGGGATAATTCGTCCTATGAACCATCGTAACTTAAACCATTTTATTTTACAAATAATTTATAGAAAATGTTGTGTTATGCAACTATTTCACATATGTACTTAGGAAATTTCAATTATAAAAGACTTGAGTTACATGTAAACCTGCTACAATTAAAATAACTTACATTATCAATTTAAGGTAGACCCTTTGATAAAAATATAAAAATTTCAAGAAACTTTAACCAATACTTTATCGGAAAATTTTCATTGGATATATAGCAGTTTGACAAACACTAATTTTGATCATTGAGAAGCTTAATATTTCTTTAACAATAGAACGTGATTCAAACGATCAGCTGATTTTTACAGAGTTATCTCCCTGTAGTGTTATGTACCACCTTAAGTGAGAGATAAAAGAAAACATAATACTACACTTACAGACAATTCTTCATCTTGTCTTTTCAAATGGTCTACGATGCGATCCAGATTGCGAAGGCCAATTATTTTATAGTAGTCTAAATCCTGAGGTGGTAACGATGCATCTGCCTCTACTCCAGATTCAGCACTGCCTTCACAAGATTTCTCTTCTTCTAGAAGCAGTTTTGATCTTATATTGTCCATTTCAGTGTTCTGATTTGCATAATTTGTATTATGTTCTGTTGTCATATTTGATTCTAGCTTGGGACGTTCCATAAACATTAATCTTGGTAAGAGATCCAGAAATATGTATTTAACCAATGTGGACATTTTGTGTGTTGAGGGTGAATGAAAATGAATTCTAATCGTTACTATGGTAGCCAAAATGGATAAAGTTACTGCAGTCATTGTAAATAAAAGATATTTTCCAAGTAGTGGAATCACTAAAGAAGTCGGTGGAATTATCTCTGCCAGTAAAAGGAAGAAAACGGTCAATGACAGTAGAATTGAGATAGAAAGGGTTATTTTTTCACCACTGTCTGATGGCAAATAAAACACAATTACTGTCAAAAAAGATATTGCAACACAAGGCATTATCAGATTTACCGTATGGAATAATGTCTTCCTCTTCATTGTTATCTCAAATGTCACATCAATATATGGTTCTGGACAGCACGGATATGTTTTAAAGTTTTTTATTGCTGTCCCCGACAATACATCCCACTCTACATTAGAATAGAAGTCAGCGAAATTTATACCATTGGTTAATATAACGCCTGCTATATCCTGGTTTTCAGAACATATGTGGACAAGGTCTATTTCATTCCCATCGTACGTCCATGAACCAAACTTCATCTTACATGACTGTATATCAAAGGGGAAATATTCTACGTCTATGATGCATGCACTTTTATATATTACTGGAGGTTCCCATACTATCAGTCCACTATAATGTATTGTTGCCTTAGTCATCAGAGTAACAACAAAATTTCCATCTGCACTGAAATATCGATATCGAAGCGTGATTCATATATCTTATTTTCATTTTTTTAAATCACGACTTTTGTTCTCATTTATAGATTAATGCTTTGAGAGAACTGCCTTAAAAAGATTTAATTAAACTTTGATGTAATTATAAACATTTTACTTTTAAGATTTTGACTAAAATTATCATTTGAGTGCGTGTTTTATTTATATTTTGACATATCAATATTATCAATAATGAATAAATTAGGCATCTAAAATAATTGTTATATTCAAGTTTGCATGTACACATACTGATCATCAGTCGCTAAAAGTTCAAAATAGTACAGACATACACAATAATTAAATAAATTTTCTTCTTTGCTAGTTGATGTTAAATCTAATTTGAAAAGGCAACAAAATCTTACAGCATTAGAGAAAAACATAGAATTAAAACAGTACAATGACAGCAAAAGTAAACTTTCTACAAGGTAATAATAATAAGAATAATTGTGTTTTCCTAGTAACTTTTTTTTCATGAAAAAAAAAATTTGGAGTTGTAGAAATTTAAATTTATTGGACTACTGAAAAGCAATTCACAATTAAAAAGTAAGAGGACACATTTCGTAACAAATGTTATACCTAATAATTATATAAGTCATTTATGTTTTGCATAAAAATAAGATTGGTTTCAACCCCACGCGTTGACTTGGGTATAGTAATATGTCCACATATCCTGCAATATAATCAGTGCTAACGACGAAGAATATGCAAAAATATATTAATACGAGCACACATCCGGTCAGACTGGGGACGTTAAATCGCGGGGGATGGAAGTGTGCCACTCTCTTTGCACGTTAAGGAACACTTGCAAAAAAATTTTAAGCGGTCCGTATTGGGGCTGTTTCGAGGCAAAACATTTGTCTGTCCCTACCAAACATGCCCGTTTTTTCCAGTGGCAGTTTAAGTGGCCACGTTCATCCAAATCGACCCACTTGACAGTGCCTACCTTCTAAAATTATTATTAGTATATTACGAATCAACTAATGATTGCAAAGTGAAGTTGAAGAAACAATACGTAATAGAAAAAAAAAAATCCTGAAGAAGAAAAAAAAAAGATAACAAAAAACAGATGCTGTTGTTCTAATGGTACATTAAAAGTATTGAATCAGATAATACAAGTAACATACATATACTAAAAACCTGGAAATAACTCGGGGAATTTCACGATCACCATCATATATTCAATAAGCTACATTCAGTTTCTTTTAAATATTTATTCTTGTTTATATAAAGACATACTTTTCAAATACGCATGTGTTGGATAATGAAATATTTCAGCATATTCCATAATCATATGACGGATAAACAAGGCATTGTTTTGTAAATTTGACATTGATTCAACATTCTTTTTTAACCAGTGCTTTCAGATTCTTGAACTTTCAAAGAACAAAAATATAGTAACAAGGAATTTTCAGCATCAGATGAAAGACAGTTTCCATAAATGTAGAATGATTGCTGATTTTGTATTGTAAAACTGAGACGATTAGGACTTTTTCGTTGTTGTTACTTATTAACTGCTATCCCGTTATGCTTTTTTCAATTCAACCGTTGATTACAAAGTATTATCTAAGCAAACTACAAGTAATACATTTAGTTCATTCCTGCAGAAGAAAAACACGCTGTTATTCTAATGTAATGTAACATCATTGAATCAGATGATGAAATTAACATAAATATAAATAGGAACCTATACTTCACCATCACTCTGGGAATTTTACGACCGTGATCAATAATTCAATTAGTCAAATTTGGTTCTTTTAAAAGACGTGCTTTTATGTTATTTGTATGAAAATACGCATGTATTGGATAATGCAATACTTGAGAATATTCCGTTTTTGATCTTACGATAGAATCAAGCAATGTTTTGTAAATTTGAGATTTGATATGCATATACAGCACTTCATGCGACTCAAATTAAGTATCCTGTGGCAAAAAACAAGAACATTACAAACACTAATATTTCTTTAACTGCTTTCATTACAACTACTGAATCGACTCCACTCCTTCTGGACGTTTCGTCTCCGAGAATGTTTCCAGTCCAACAGTAAGCACTCCGGTGCTGACATAAAATATAATTGAAACGGTCATTTTCTGTGAGTTTACTGCTCATAAAATGTTTAAATCATTCAAAACACTTTTTAGGGGTTTTCTATCCTCTGGTATAGAAGCCCTATCAAGATTTGGTACAGCTTTTAAAAGTTTGATTTTCAGAGTTCTTCAACTTCGCAATCAATGTTTTTTTCAATTGTTTTGATTCGAGTGCCACTGTTGAATCTTACGTAGAAGAAACACGAGCCTGGCGAACTAAACTGTAAGACTGGTTTATCAGATTATTTTTTTTTTTTAATTTTTCTATACAAGTCTTTGTATTGTGTAGTATTGAATTTGTATTTTGTATGCATCAAAAAGTCATTTTAGTTTGTACTTCTAATTTCAATTTTAAAACTAGAATAAAAATGTTAGCTCCCCTTTGAACATAACTTTTTAATGTTCAGCAAGAAAAGCACACTAGAGTGTCATTTTCATGAGTTATTCTCTTTCGTCTACAATAAGGTTTAACTTTGTCTAGGTTAATAATGAAAAATTGGTAAAGCAACAACCAATAGAAATACAAAGTCTATCCGCTAAGGTATCGTCTGGTAAACTCAAATTTGATGTTAGTCGGAGCAGATGAATATTGAAATGTAACCTTTGCTTACCTTTACTAAAATGTCTAGTATAAAATGTTAATTCTAGAATTTAAAACAAATAAAATGTTTACAAAAATAAATACTAACTGCATACGACCTTTTTATTTATCATAACCAGACTTTTCCTTTCAAGACACTAGCTATGTCAATTAAATGGTACAGAAAGTTAAGTGAAATTACTAATGGAAACTCATCAGCAAAATGTTCCGTGTTCTAGTACTTATGCATTCGCGTTAATTTCAATTATTGTATAATATTTGACACAGTTTAATTAATGTTTAAGGCCATTCCATTAAATGACATTAATTGTCTAGTATTAGACATAATACCCATTTACTGAATATCAAATGTATCGTCAATTTAAGAGGATTCTTGCATACAGGGAAACTGGTTTTATTTGACGAGCATGTATATCTGTTGAAACCGCTAATTAACATTCCAAATCATGCTATTAGGTGAATAGCCTTCACAGGGACGAGAAAAAATAAAGAAAGGTTAATTAGTGGTAAATATAAATAAAGAACAGTCCCGCAAATGAAAAAAAAGAATTTAATGTCAATATCGAGGAAATTAAACATAGTATTTAATACCAAAAACTTTGTAATATATGTATAGTCTTTGCTATTTTTCTATAGTAATTTTGTTGTTGATGCAATAATCCATGCATTAATTTAAGTACTTGGTGATTATTACAATCATACACGCATCTGTATCCGTTAAATCAATGTTTAAATAAATTTATATGAATCGAATCATGTGAACATATTCTTTTGGCTCTTCTTGCAATGCATTACATTTTAAAAAAACTGCATAACCTTAAAACAAACACTGATATACATATGCATCACGGCTGTAACTCTGTAAGCTGGAACTGATAACCCTTTTATCATACCAGAGATGACCCCTTGTTTTTGGTGTAAAGTGTATGACATTTTGTGGGATGTCATGTATCTTTAAACCTTTGACAATAGTGTTGTCTATCTTTTTTAGACCTACGATTTTTATTGATATTTTTCTGCTTACGTTTATACAAGTGTCAGAAAAGACTATATTGCTGTCAAAATATTTTATTTAAGATGATTTGCTTTCTACCTACAATAGTTTAGGAAAGCGCAGATTACCTATTTTAATTTTTAATTTTTAACTTTTAATTTATATTTGTGTAAATTAAGGTATTAAACTTGTGGTTTTACTTAATTTTACATGGACATTTTAAGTATATGTTAGTGTTTTGTTACTTTTCTATTATTCAGTCCTGTAAGGTGACTGTTTGGGAATTCTACCTTTTGCCATGATTTTTGTCTGTCCTTTTTATATGCCAGTGATGCCAATACACATGTATGTTGTATATCCAAGCTTCTAACGCACAACCATGTGTGACTTATGTTGATAACTTGACATGGTCTATTTGTATAGCATAAATTAAATAACTACACAAAAATTATCAAAATATATTTTGTTGTTCTCATTTATTTTTTACCGGATTTTAATATTTGTTTCTCTAACCTTCTGTTATATCAAGAACAGTGATAACAGTCTTGGCAATAGGAATAATCCAAACATATTCCTCTATATAGGATGCTCGTGTTCTATGAGCAAAACAAATGATGACAATAAGTCTTCGGTTTTTTTTTTTTTAAAGATGAAAAACAAAACTTAAATACCACTCCAATTATTAGTTCATTGTCTCTGAACTTTTGGAAAAAAATATGTTATGTCATATTTAATTCAATATCTTAAGGTCAATGAACAGTAAATGGGCTTTGTCACAGATTTTGGTTAAATTTTGCATACAACTTTTGCTCGTTGAACTTATACTGGAAATCGAAAAAAATAATGCATTCAACTCTTTTATTTTCTGCAATAATACTGATTGAATTCTGTCAAAATAGATGAACATTTGTATAGAGGGCATATTAAATCGGCGAAAAACGTTCTTAAACTGGTCTTAAAATCATCAAATCCTCAATTTCTAATCCATAAAAAATTATATGTTGTTGATATATATTTAATTTCAGATTTAATAAAATGAAATAATCATAGGGTCAATGACTTTGTTTTCGATTTATTGACGAATCTGTAACCTAGTTGGGAGTGAAAAATGTCAAAAATCGACGTTTTACAGCTTATAACGCTACGACGTTACGCTTATTTCCACGATTTGTGGTATTTTTTTTCACCTAGTACACCACTTTGAATGTGTATAGCGTAAAACGAAGTTGGTGACCCTATTATTATTCTTCATCAATTAAACAGAAATGTATGTATCAACAACTTATGATTGATTTTTTAAGAAAAAATCTATCGACGAGAAATTGGAGATTTGATAATTTAAGACAAATATAAGAACGATTTATGCCGATTTAAAACCCTTTCTATGAAAATGTTCCCCTATTTTGAGAGAACTCAATCGGTAAAATTTCAGAAAATAAAAGAGATAAATGCATTAATTTTTTCTCGATTTTCCGTTATAGTTCAACGAGCAAAAGTTGTAAGCAAAATTTTACCAAAATCTGTGACAAGTTACTTGACCTTAAATATATGTTTGGCTATCAACTACTTAGATCTGAACAAAATATGTCCAAACAGGTCAAATCGGTTGTTATTAAAATGCTTGGTTTCAGCTCTTGGTTTCGGAACGGATACCATTTCGGCAGAGCTGCCTGATTTATGTCAATATATTCTAAACAAAATTTCAACAAACGACTAAAGTCAACCAAAGATATTCTTAATTGGAAGCATAAAC